AAATACATACAAAGGTCTATAGGATATATTTAATTGGATTTCTAAACATGAGTGTTGAGATCCTGTGACTGACTCAACGTGACTCATACAGGGGAATTCCCGTGTCACAGGATACTGTTGTAGGCACTTATTTGTGTGAGGTTACACCATAACAATACCTACTGAATACCTACATGATGGTATTTACCCCAGATGATCTAACACCTGATCAGGTCTCTGTGGGGAGACCAGACACAGACCGATCAGGTCTCTGTGGGGAGACCAGACACAGACCGATCATGCAGGTCTCTGAGGGGAGACCAGACACAGAAGACTGCCTCATATTGTCAGCACTATATCGGAGGAACACTGGGATAGGGCAGTCTCTTCTATTTCGTTTCTCTGTAACAAAATATGTTTATCATGGTAGCGTGTGGGAGTCTGACCTACATTTTGTATTATCATGATGACACAGTAACAGAACAATACCATAACAAGTGCGAGGTGATCAGACTATCGTACTGTTCAACCTTTCAAATTTTTCACAGGGGAGAAAATATGTGACAAAATCTGTAGAGGTACTTAAAAATGTACTTAAAGTGACCCCAGGACAAAATAATTGGTAAAGTACTTAGAGTTAATTCAATTTGAGCATTTTAAATGCAAAATGTAGGAATTCTGCTGATTTTAAAATAAAAATTAGGTATTGGTTCCATAATAAAGGAACTTTGCAAATAAAATTTTCAAATTGTTAGATTGTTAGATTCCCAAATAAGGAGTGCCTCATAATGCTTGTGACATCATTACCATTGTGATGGTATAAGAGTTTCTGAAATCCTTTAAAAAGGTGTTACAGTACCGTGATAAGGGTGACAGAAGTGACCTAAAGTCTACCCACAGAGGTCCAGACAGAAGTGACCTATAGTCTACCCACAGAGCTCCAGTCAGAAGTGACCTATAGTCTACCCACAGAGGCCTAGACAGAAGTGATCTATAGTCTACCCACAGAGCTCCAGTCAGAAGTGACCTATAGTCTACCCACAGAGGTCCAGACAGAAGTGACCTATAGTCTACCCGCCACAGAGGTCCACCACGTCTGATGGCCATTTGTGTTAGTGGTAGCCAGCTGCCTGATAGGGCTGACCACACAATGGTTGGTGAGAAACAGATGATGGGGAGGTGGTCCTAAGCTATAATTAAGTAGTAGATAATTACTGTTGTTATCGGGACAAATTAATGGTTTTATTGGGACATTCATTATAAACGGTTTCTATAATAGTGTATAGTATGGGAGCTCACACCAGGCACCAAACACTGGCCAGGGTTGTTTGTTCTTGTTTCCCTTCACCTGTACAATATATATAGGCCCAATGTGACTCGTGCAATATAATATTACACCAACTTTTACAAGATGTAGGTCCTGTACTTGCGGTACAAATTTCATGTTCATATACATTAAACTATATTAATGATTGAATGGATTTTCATTTTCGTATGTACAGATATGGGTAATTGTTCAATTTAGCTCATTCACCCCTACAATTTGATAATGAACTATCCCAACCTTTGAATTGGAAGAGTTCAAATGTGTCTTCAGGGGTAAATGAGTTAAGTTTGAGTATGACTGAAGGACCTCATTTGTTAAGCAAAATTGAGCTTGATTACATAACTATTTTCAGATTTATCAAATATAGATTGCCATGGTTATAACTAGATCTTGACGAAATCAGAAATCAATCAGAAATCAGTGAGCCGTGGTATTTTGGCTGCCATTACCGGTAGGTCAGGAAGCCCTATAAGACATAATGTGATCCATAAACTGTTGGTCAGATGGTCATTAAAATGACAAAATGATCATCGCTGACCTGTGCATGGTCAGTAATGTGGTCAGTAAGGTTACTGGTCAGCCTGGTGCCTATGCATACTAATTAGGACTGGAGATTCAATCAAGAACTGTGGTTATAGATCCTGTGTTAGGCCATCTGTCCTACAACTTGACCTCTTGAGACTCCAGTAAGGCATCTGTGGGGGCAGGACTGCATGTTGACCACTGGTCATTGATGGTCACTTAGAGACATGAACTACATGAGAAAAGTGTCCAAGTTATGGTCAGTGATAGGATCGGTGGCAGTGTGCTGAACTTTTATACCTACTAATTTTGTCCCCGAGTGTAGTGATGTTATGGCGAGTGTAGCGATGTTATGGCGCGGACAAGACGGTATAGATTTCAGTCAGTTACAGAAGGAAGTGATTTTTTTACCTAAATTAATATCATGTGGCAATTATGACATGGATATGTTTAAATCCTCCGTTCTGTGGAGAAATTGAATAACTAAGGACTTTTAAAGGAAATGACAGCAGTTGCAATTGAACATTTGGTGATTGGGAAAAGGGAACTGACACTAACAGGTATTTATTAGCTTCAAGTTCTTCTTGCTCCTTTAAGGTTGAGAATCCCATTGCTGTGGGTTTTTTTATCTCTAGTGAAGAAGAGTTTCAACTTTTTTGAGCATTCAAACAAAAAAAATGAAAAATTATTAGCATCTTTAAACAAGAAATATTTTATCATTGTTGGTCATGTTGGAAATTAATGTCCTCACAAATCTATAGTTTGAGGCAGAACTGTAGAAATAAATACTTCGTGATTGACTGGTTTTAGTTACTGTTGTCTGTGGTATAAATATAGTACAGTATCTATAGCCCCGGGGAGGCATTCCTTTTGTGTGGCCTGTACAATGTAATATTGTCAGACAGGTGTTGGAGCGGCCACAGAAAGGCTATTTGCTTGGATGTTAGGAGGCTTTTGTAAAAGTTGCTTTATCATTAAAGTTTGAAATTATTTTCACTTTTAAATTATAATGTATATATGCTTATATGCAATAAAAAGCATAGATGGTCACTTGTTACTATACTTGCTTCTAATACAATAGAGCGAATGTTTGAAGAATATGGCAAGTTCTTATAATTATAGGTAAACAGGTGTGGTTCGTTGCAATATCACAGGTAAATTGTTGTGTTGTTCTCACCTTAATCTAAGTACAGGTAATTTAGAACCTGTAACAGGACATGCTAACTTTCCATTTTATTTTACGTGGTTGTGAGACACTAGATGCTGCTGGGCATGTGTCTGTCCCTGTCTGGCCGCGCCATCACCTGGTCAATGTTTACCTATCAGGTCGGATCTGACAGGGTTTGGTTGTAGAGATGCTATCACAGGTTTACAGATGTACAGACTATTTAATTTGTCTGAGGTATATATGATAGATCCCCTCCCCCTCCACACAGTGCTATCAATCATGGTCAGGGAAGGAGCAGGCTATAGTCTATAGGTACAGTGCTTCTTACAGGTACGTCATTCTGAATATTGTTTGTCTCTCAGATGTATATTATACAGGTGTAGTTTGTAATCTCTGAGGTTAATATTGTTTGTTTCCTTTGAGGTAAATGTAGTTTGTTTTCTCCTGGACTGGTATTGTTTTCCTCTCAGACTAATATTGTTTTCTGAAATGATAGTTATTTATAAGCATACAATGTCAGAGGCATCCTTTGAAATTATTTGTTGAACTTGAGCAGATTTTTGAAATCAAAATTAATTTTGGATTTACATTAACCAGCTTCCAGCTAAACAGGTTGTCATTTACCTGCAGACCTGCACAATTGTTGTCCTGTATTTGTGTTTGATCTGATGTCTCTGGAAATAACTTGCATACCAGCTTATTGACTATGAATGCCTTAAAAGAGCCCACCCTAGCTGGAAATGTTTGATATAACTGTACAACCGTACTATTCAATAATACCTAGTGCCATTGAAGGTGAAAATAGGTTTTAACTATTGACAATGCAGATTACAATTAAAGACGAAAAGAATGGTTTAAAGATTCTGCAATGCAATATAGCGTAGAAGATGAGAATAGTTTTGGACTGGAACTATTTACATGTGACAACAGTATGAAAGTCCGCGTCGTTTGACTACCTTATCACATTAGGACAGACAGACATTTAGCACCGAACAGAATCAATTATGGATGATCCGATTGTCACATGCCCCTAATGGGATGGTTTTCCTTGTCAAGTTCTGCGTCAAAGACGCCATATTAGTTCTGGTTCACTGGCTGGAGGGTGTAAGGAGACAGGACCATACCTGTACGTCAAATTATTTACATGTTCACTTTGTCGACAAATAAAAGCATCCCAGGTGTATAAACAAGCAGTCAATAATTAATAGGTAACGATTGCGTGCTTGTTTAGATTACCGACAACACGGGTATTATACAAGATCACTCCACAATTATCTAGTGTGATCCCTTCTATCCGGTTAGAACATCAAGTCCGTCCTCATTGACGGATTACTGACATCAAGGCCCTCGTCATTGATGGGTGACTGACATTTTAAGCCTATATATAATGGAATGTTTAGGTGGTCAAGCATGTAGATATAAGCTTCTTATACTGGATGTATTATACTAGTCAGCAATATTAGGAAAGTAAAAAATCCTCTCATCCGATTACAGAATTGATCTTTACAATCAGGGTGTTGATATATAAATTGTACTTGAAACCATACAACGATGTAGATACTCTATGTTCTTGCCTTGATGATGGGCCGGTATATATGGACATGAAACCATACAACGATGTAGATACTCCATGTTCTTGCCTTGATGAGTGGCCGGTATATATGGACATGAAACCATACAACGATGTAGATACTCCATGTTCTTGCCTTGATGATTGGCCGGTATATATGGACATGAAACCATACAACGATGTAGATCTACTCCATGTTCTTGCCTTGATGATGGGCCGGTATATATGGACATGAAACCATACAACGATGTAGATACTCGTTGTTCTTGCCTTGATGATTGGCCGGTATATATGGACATGAAACCATACAACGATGTAGATACTCGTTGTTCTTGCCTTCAAATCATATAGTCTATATTTTGATAAAATTTTGTGGAATGAATATTGGCACTTACATAAATCTTACTAAATCATGTGTTCTTTCTCTGTTTCAGCCTCAGTTGCAGGTTTACGCCAAAGTCATTCATTTAAGGAAAAGCGTTCGTCTTCAGGGCCTGCGGGTCGTAGTCAGGTAACATCGGCGCCTCTGAGCGTCTCCACGGTTACTCCTCAGCCACACCCATCTCTGTCTTCTATACCTGATACTGAGTCTGTCACACAGGTATGCTTTAGTTCTGTTGGTTTAGTTTTCAGGTAGGATCACAGGGAGATATCAAAATGAAATAAAAGATTTAATTTTTTTAAGAATTTTTTTTAAGATTTACTCTGCTGCACAGTTGTCACATACAGTGCATGGAACCTCAAAAGTGAAACAGATGTAATACAGGAGTCTGTCTTAAATAGAACTGATAGATTTACACCAAAGACAAAATACCTGTGATCCTATTCCTGACCTGCTTTTAGCCTGTTGATGACCAGACATTGACTACTGGTGCCTTGTATTTATCCTCTGTTTTTATGCCGTATTCTATTTCAACATTTTCAACTGCACAACTCATATGTGTCTGACACTTCATCTTATTCAATTAACAAGTTATTTTGAACTGTTTATATTTTTTGCTTTCACCTTTTTCAAAAATCTTTGTATGCTTTTGGGGTTTTTAAATCTTTTCAATGTTGTTATTTTTCGTGGTATTTACAGGTAATATGTTTGAGCATAAATTATAGAATAATAGAATTGACTAGATTCTGGAAATAATTTGCTTGTCCATTCCCGAGATACAAAGTCATTCTTAGTGCCTGAATTTATGTATGAATAATAAAACTGGTCTGAGAAATCCAGTTAGTTGCCACTAGATATACTGACCCACACATACAGGGCTTTCTGCTTGCATAACTAGTGCTGCATCAGATCATTTCTAGCAACGTTTTTTTTCCTCTAATTTTCTAACATTACTCATTATTGTACTTAAATAATGTCAGCATTTGTCTCCTGTTATTCAGAGTTGGTAATGCCCTGACACTGCCTCCATTTATATATCTGCCCTCTCACTTTAACTATAATTACAACTGGGGGTTGAAGACCCAACGTCCTTGCAAAGGAGTCAGTTCCATAGTGGCGGTAGGGATCCTGGGGTGGATACCTAACAACAGGGGGGTGGAGACTCAACATCCCTGCAAGGAAGTCAGTTCCATAGTGGCGGTAGGGATCCTGGGGTGGATACCTAACAACGGGGGTGGAGACCCAACGTCCCTGTAAGGAAGTCAGTTCCATAGTGGCGGTAGAGATCCTGGGGTGGATATCTAACAACAGGGGGGTGGAGACTCAACGTCCCTGTAAGGAAGTCAGTTCCATAGTGGCGGTAGTGATCCTGGGGTGGATATCTAACAACAGGGGGATGGAGACTCAACGTCCCTGTAAGTGAGTCAGTTCCATAGTGGCAGTACGTTGAGATCCTGGGGTGGATACCTAACAACAGGGGGGTGGAGACTCAACGTCCCTGTAAGTGAGTCAGTTCCATAGTGGCAGTAGGGATCCTGGGGTGGATACCTAACAACAGGGGGGTGGAGACTCAACGTCCCTGTAAGGGAGTCAGTTCCATAGTGGCAGTAGGGATCCTGGGGTGGATACCTAACAACAGGGGGGTGGAGACTCAACGTCCCTGTAAGGAAGTCAGTTCCATAGTGGCGGTAGGGATCCTGGGGTGGATACCTAACAACAGGGGGGTGGAGACCCAACGTCCCTGTAAGGAAGTCAGTTCCATAGTGGCGGTAGGGATCCTGGGGTGGATACCTAACAACAGGGGGGTGGAGACCCAACGTCCCTGTAAGGAAGTCAGTTCCATAGTGGCGGTAGGGATCCTGGGGTGGATACCTAACAACAGGGGGGTGGAGACCCAACGTCCCTGTAAGGAAGTCAGTTCCATAGTGGCGGTAGGGATCCTGGGGTGGATACCTAACAACAGGGGGGTGGAGACCCAACGTCCCTGTAAGGAAGTCAGTTCCATAGTGGCGGTAGGGATCCTGGGGTGGATACCTAACAACAGGGGGGTGGAGACCCAACGTCCCTGTAAGGAAGTCAGTTCCATAGTGGCGGTAGGGATCCTGGGGTGGATACCTAACAACAGGGGGGTGGAGACCCAACGTCCCTGTAAGGAAGTCAGTTCCATAGTGGCGGTAGGGATCCTGGGGTGGATACCTAACAACAGGGGGGTGGAGACCCAACGTCCCTGTAAGGAAGTCAGTTCCATAGTGGCGGTAGGGATCCTGGGGTGGATACCTAACAACAGGGGGGTGGAGACCCAACGTCCCTGTAAGGAAGTCAGTTCCATAGTGGCGGTAGGGATCCTGGGGTGGATACCTAACAACAGGGGGGTGGAGACCCAACGTCCCTGTAAGGAAGTCAGTTCCATAGTGGCGGTAGGGATCCTGGGGTGGATACCTAACAACAGGGGGGTGGAGACCCAACGTCCCTGTAAGGAAGTCAGTTCCATAGTGGCGGTAGGGATCCTGGGGTGGATACCTAACAACAGGGGGGTGGAGACCCAACGTCCCTGTAAGGAAGTCAGTTCCATAGTGGCGGTAGGGATCCTGGGGTGGATACCTAACAACAGGGGGGTGGAGACCCAACGTCCCTGTAAGGAAGTCAGTTCCATAGTGGCGGTAGGGATCCTGGGGTGGATACCTAACAACAGGGGGGTGGAGACCCAACGTCCCTGTAAGGAAGTCAGTTCCATAGTGGCGGTAGGGATCCTGGGGTGGATACCTAACAACAGGGGGGTGGAGACCCAACGTCCCTGTAAGGAAGTCAGTTCCATAGTGGCGGTAGGGATCCTGGGGTGGATACCTAACAACAGGGGGGTGGAGACCCAACGTCCCTGTAAGGAAGTCAGTTCCATAGTGGCGGTAGGGATCCTGGGGTGGATACCTAACAACAGGGGGGTGGAGACCCAACGTCCCTGTAAGGAAGTCAGTTCCATAGTGGCGGTAGGGATCCTGGGGTGGATACCTAACAACAGGGGGGTGGAGACCCAACGTCCCTGTAAGGAAGTCAGTTCCATAGTGGCGGTAGGGATCCTGGGGTGGATACCTAACAACAGGGGGGTGGAGACCCAACGTCCCTGTAAGGAAGTCAGTTCCATAGTGGCGGTAGGGATCCTGGGGTGGATACCTAACAACAGGGGGGTGGAGACCCAACGTCCCTGTAAGGAAGTCAGTTCCATAGTGGCGGTAGGGATCCTGGGGTGGATACCTAACAACAGGGGGGTGGAGACCCAACGTCCCTGTAAGGAAGTCAGTTCCATAGTGGCGGTAGGGATCCTGGGGTGGATACCTAACAACAGGGGGGTGGAGACCCAACGTCCCTGTAAGGAAGTCAGTTCCATAGTGGCGGTAGGGATCCTGGGGTGGATACCTAACAACAGGGGGGTGGAGACTCAACGTCCCTGTAAGGAAGTCAGTTCCATAGTGGCGGTAGGGATCCTGGGGTGGATACCTAACAACAGGGGGGTGGAGACTCAACGTCCCTGTAAGGAAGTCAGTTCCATAGTGGCGGTAGGGATCCTGGGGTGGATACCTAACAACAGGGGGGTGGAGACTCAACGTCCCTGTAAGGAAGTCAGTTCCATAGTGGCAGTAGGGATCCTGGGGTGGATACCTAACAACAGGGGGGTGGAGACTCAACGTCCCTGTAAGGGAGTCAGTTCCATAGTGGCAGTAGGGATCCTGGGGTGGATACCTAACAACAGGGGGGTGGAGACTCAACGTCCCTGTAAGGGAGTCAGTTCCATAGTGGCAGTAGGGATCCTGGGGTGGATACCTAACAACAGGGGGGTGGAGACTCAACGTCCCTGTAAGGGAGTCAGTTCCATAGTGGCAGTAGAGATCCTGGGGTGGATACCTAACAACAGGGGGGTGGAGACTCAACGTCCCTGTAAGGGAGTCAGTTCCATAGTGGCAGTAGAGATCCTGGGGTGGATACCTAACAACAGGGGGGTGGAGACTCAACGTCCCTGTAAGGGAGTCAGTTCCATAGTGGCGGTAGAGATCCTGGGGTGGATACCTAACAACAGGGGGGTGGAGACTCAATGTCCCTGTAAGGAAGTCAGTTACATAGTGGCAGTACGTAGAGATCCTGGGGTGGATACCTAACAACAGGGGGGTGGAGACTCAACGTCCCTGTAAGGAAGTCAGTTCCGTAGTGGCAGTAGGATCCTGGGGTGGATACCTTAATGGTATTCAACAGTGCTCATCAGGGAAAGCAGAGCAAATAAAAATAGAAATGATGAGCAACAACAGCACTATTTTAACTAAAATAGTTCTATTTGTTTGTATCGCACAAATTACCATTAGGATAAGACCCATTATCTAATTCATCAACACCTTCCCCAGAAGTCAATCATTAAAAGTTTTCACCTACACTGTTCCAGGACAAAAGACCGCAAACTAAACCATAATACGAAGGAAGTAACCTTATACAGGAATTTTAGTTCTGGAAGTTAGATTTCCAGTGTGTATCTCAGCAGTAATCATTTTGATATATATACTGGTAATTCCAATCAGGAGGGATGTGTTCTGTTGTACTATTAATTCACAAGATTTTAAATCATCCTTTTTCATAGTAAACAAGGTTTTTCGTAGAAAAAAAAGGTGTACTTGTACATCTATGTAGGTGATGTATGATGAGTGTGGGTTCTTAGACCGCTATAGTGACACCAATCTGTCACGTAGCTGTCACCTGTACAGGTGTAAATCCACAGGTATAACCACAGGTTAAGGAGTTACAAGTCGCTATAGATCCTCCCCTACAACCTGACACAGGAAGTCAGCTAATTACTCCCCGATACTGGCTATCATTACATGCTCGTCCACATCAATGCTCATTATACCTGACCAAATATTGGTGTTATTTGTCCGGGATGTAGGTAACAGGGACACTGACCTATTTACCTGCACATAGTACCTGTGTCGTAGATTTCACAGAAAATTCCTGTGTTATATTACAGGGTAGATAGTGTTGGTAGGACTGTAAATGTTATTGTTACTCACACAAACTTTTGATCCTAAATGACGGACACATTAAACCCTCCTGGTAGATAAGAATTGTAAAATCATTGAAATATTTCATTCAGATATTTGCTATGTAATTTGGATGGGTAGGATTTAGAATTATCATACGAAGGATTTGCGGTCTTAACCCTGCAGGCCTTTCATTTTAAATTTCCGCTGCAATATCCAAACTTAGGTATGTAAACTTATAGAGACTGTTTTCCATATCTTGAACTGGTATAAATCTTATCAAGAAAACTTGTGATTTGTTAAGTTTGTCCTAATCTATACAGTAGTTTTCAGATAAACAAATAATTGAGTAAGATTTTGCACCAGTTCAAATTTTCATTAAAGTTGTGAAATTCGTATTTTTCTCTAACTTTTAGCTAGTATGTACCAGAACAGAGTTATCTAACCTTAGATTCATGTTACATGGCAGATGACAGGAACATTAAGGTTTTTGGATGTGATAAACATAAATATAGCTCATCAAATCTTATCTGTCCGAGAGGAGATTGTCATAATCAAGTGTGTTACCAAAATGGTTGAAGACGTTTTAACTCGCTGCTCTGGTTTATTGATAGGTTGTGGCCTTATATCTCTTCATGTGGACTACTCTCTAGTAACGAGAATTAATCTTAACTGTTTATCTACCGTTGTCAGTATTTCAATCATCTTTGAAAATAGAACAAAGGGGAAACACTTCGTCAATACACTTATATACCAATCATTTTCCTTATTAGAGATGATTTCAATCAGACATGCTTAACTTTCGAATTTTGAAGGCTTCGATCAATATAACGATGATTTTGGTTTGCAGACATCAGCAGCTCAGTTACAGCAGCACAGAAGGAGTTTACCTACGACCAGGTAAGTACGTCTGTATTCTGGTGGTGACATTGTAAATATATGCTGGCTACCAGTGTAATCAGTGTCAACTAGTACCCTGAGTGTAATCAGTGTCAACTGGTACCCAGCGAATCAGTGTCAACTGGTACCCAGTGTAATCAGTGTCAACTGGTACCCAGTGTAATCATTGTTAGCTGGGCATCAGTGTAAGCTGTTGTCAGTATATGCTGTTTTTGCCTGTGTGCTGATTGTCTTGTATGCTGTGCTGTGACTATTAATGGGTGCCCAATGCTGTGCTGTGACTAGATTAACGGGTGCTCATGTAATGTTTTCAGTATGATTCTGTGTTACTGTTGTTAGCATGGTGTTAGCTTTGTGTTTCTGTTTGGCCTCTGATACTAACATTTGGGAAGGTTTAAAAAAATAAATTATCATAATTATATGTATTGCAGAAGACAAGTATACAATCAATAAAGCTTTCCCAACTCTGGGCTGAAATTGGATGTGTATAATGCCTGCATCACAGCTGCATGTTGCTCGTGTGTACATGTGTGTTTGTGCTGTGTGATATATCAGGGAAATACATACATAAAGACAACACCTTTCTGAAAATCTGCATATACTTCTTATGTGAAGTCTTTTGGTATTGGAGGCCTTATAAATGTATTGAAAGTATATTTTGACAGTAGATTATTGCAGTTGACCTTTGTGTAAATACCAATCCTGTAAAAACCTCCTGCTGTGTGTCAGAGATGTACATTTATAACATTTAAGAGTAGCAAATTTAATGCTCATTATATCAGGAAACTTCTAAACAAATTCTTAAGAATGTTCTTTAAAAAAGAGATTTTGTTTTAGGACAAGATTGCTTATATTACATGAATTCCTAGACAAACTTTTAACATATTTGTTCATGTTATAAAGCCTACTGAAAAGAATATGTTGTTACTATTTTAAAACTGTTGCACTTAGATCTATAAGTAAGGCAGGAACAGCAGTTACTTATACTGTAAAAAATCTAAGAAGTTTGCTGAAACTTCAAGGGCCAGAGTCAGTGTTTATCAAAATTACCTAGACGTACAAATGAGGGCCGGGTTCTCTGGCCTAACAATTGAGGGCCGGGTTCTCTGGCCTAACAAATGAGGGCCGGAGTTCTCTGGCCTAACTATTGAGGGCCAGGGTTCTCTTGCCTGGTGATGATTGTTATAAAGTCATGATTCATATTTTGTATCGATGTTCATTTAATTTTCACCAAAGGTCAACTAATCCTTAACTGTTGTATATGCACTCCCAATCTTACGTACTGTGTCCAATCACTTTTACCTGTTGTCTAGGTTTTTGTCTGTTTTTTGTTGCCATTGATGCCAGATCTGTCAACCAATCGGATACTTTATAACAAAAAAACTAGAAGCTATAACCTTCAGATCATTCTTGTGTTTGAGTTCCTAAAAAATCTTTTTTTCTACATATAGAGATACATATACATGAATGAAATAACAGGCTACTTTCAATCAAACAGCTGTTTCGTATAGTGCACTAGAATGCACCAGACTAGAATAGTCAATAATATGGCCTCAAGCTGGTGATCAATAAGTAAACATTAATTATCTGTAGAATGCAGGACAAAGGACCTTATCACAAATTACCAGATGACACTTATCATTCATGTTGACAAGCAAGATAAATTGAAAATTCTAAATATGTGTTGAATGTGTAAAATAACCCAGTACAGCTGGTGTGTGTTTATAACTAAATTTACAAATTTCTAACTTTATTGAAAGCTATTGTCTATAATGTACAGTATGTGACATTTAATGTTTGATTGAAATATAAATTGGAATATTATTAAAATATTTAATAGTTGCTCATAAAGGATGGTTTAGTTAGGCCTGGAACCATTCCATCCGGAGGCGACATTATAATCCAACATGGTTGACAGGTCTGTGCTACATCAGTAGACTAACCGATATTGTGTCACTATTGTCATGATCATGACAACCTAATTCTAACCAATCACACTTTACGTTACATCACAGCCTTCTGTCTCTGTCTTCTCCTCCCATCACCCAAGGTCGCTCAGGATATTGGAAAAAGGCACGCGAGCTGCTAATTGGTATAGAGTAAGTCACATGTCCTACCTTGTAGACAGTATACATATAATCAACGGTAGCTATCACCTGTATCGGCCAGCTGTTCCCTGGTCAGGTAGATATATTCTAGTATAATATAGATACTCAAGTACTGTTACCTGAGTACCGTTAAGTAGAGAGTTGAATGCAGATATTTAATCGTTATTAGTAGCTAATGTACCTCAATGTTGTATTGTAACAGTAGCCGGACTCAAACTATTATAGGCCAATAACTATCAAATATAGTCAGCAGTTCTTTGATTCGTGATTGAATCTCCTTGGGTTTGTTTGAAAGCAATGGGTCATGAATACATGAGTACAGTTCATGAGCTTTTGAGCACAAAATGTAGTTCATGGAAGTCTTTACTATTGGCTCAATTAATGGCATGATTAGTAAACCAGTTACCAATCATGAACAGTCCCTGGCATTGCATTGCATGATGCTATTTGTATTTGAATCTTAAGTTTTTAGCTCACCTGGTCCTTTACCAAGGTGAGCTTATGCCATACCGTGGCGTCCGTCGTCCGTCCGTCCGTCGTCCGTCGTCTGTCCGTCGCCGGTCGTCCGTCCGTCAACAATTTCTTTAAACGACTTCTTCTTCTTAACCACTGATTGGAATTTTACTAAATTTGACTGGAAGCATCCTTAGGTGGTGGGGAATCAAAATTGTACAAATGGTGGGGCTGACCCCCCAGGGGGCTGAGGGGCGGGGCAAAAAGG